ATGGAGAATTCAATTGAAAAGTGTATCTACGAATTGGACGATTTATATGTTAGGCTACTTCATATCACTTGATTATATGATTAATATAGTTTTATTTTTGTTACAGGTGATCTTTGTTGGATTTAACAACAAACCTCTTTGATTCTCCTTCATTTGATATATGTATAAATGCATTTCTGAAGGCGCACGTATAAATACTACATATGAAATATATATATATATATATTTTAAAAAGTACATTAATTTGTACCCAATCTATACAGAGATATTTTAATGAACATTTCATTCATCATTTAGCTACGTTTCACCAGGATATTTAAATCTTCATATTCTCCATCTGGACTATCATAATTTTTTATCGGTGGTGTATGTCAAAGTCCTCGATTTAAATATGGTAAGAAGGTAAGATCAATCTGAAGTAATACAAATGCATATTTTGTAATTGAAAACAATGACCGATATGATTTAATGCGATAAGTTTAAATGCATACCTGTAACGCTTCGTTGTATAATTCTTCTGATTGAATATACCGTGATATGGATATTGGGGGTTGGGGGGGGGAACTGCTTTTAAAGTTTGTATATTGAAAATAAATCATATGTGTACTATTTAAAACGACGATTCGATTTCTTTATTGTAAATGTTGATTGAAAGTAAGTACAGAAATAATTATTCTCCGAACGAAACTCCTAACGCGATAAAGTATTAAAAAGTAGTAAAAATAAAAAGGAACGAACGTGTATATATATGTATATAACTTTTTTTTCTCTTTTTCCTCATTTTCTTAATGTATATAGCGTGCATGCCTGCCACGTAATATTTCAGTCAAATTTAAGTTCTCGCTTGCACATGGGACAGCTGTCGCTAGTCTTTAAGCATTGCCTGAGGCAATCCGCATGGAAAAGATGATGGCAGGGTGTCACTCTAGCTTTTGTCATGGTATAAAGGCAAACAGAGCAGACATCATCGAACCTATCGATCTCATCCGCGGTAGCTTTTCTATATCGATTTAATATCTCTCGTTCGCGTTTTAACGCAGCTCCTGAATTTTGCATAAGTTCTTTCCATCTTAAGTAAACGTTTAGATACGTTGCAACGAATAGAAATCTCCAGGGTGCAGTTGGTAAAAGTATTAAACTGAAGAAAGCTGACATTCCAATAGTAAAGTATCTTAATATAACAGGAGCGTAAAGATTCTCGATATTTTCCAATGCTTCTAATTGTAAATATCCTAGAATAGTTGGAAACATATCCACGAAAACCTTTTCCGTTGCTGAATAGTAGATCCACGTTAATACGGTATACAGAGTCGAGGGCCTGTATAATAATAAAAAAATTATATGAATTAATTGTTATATTAATATATGTATTTTAATTTAATCTTTAAACGCCATATTATAATCAATTTTTTTGTAATCTTAATAGTCCTTATATTTCTCGGAAGAATAATTTTAGATAAATGTCTTTTAAATTTCATCCTTATAAAGAAACGTACTATATTTTTGAAAGATTTGAGAATATATATTTGTAATACTTTTGGCGTTTAAACATTAAATAATAAAAAGAATATATGTATATATATATATATATATATATTACGGAAAAGATGTTCTATTTTTAAAAATCAAGATGATAATTTATTGCAATTATTGCAAATACTTGCTTATACTGAACTTACTTGTAATGTTCAAGTCCTTGTTCCAAACCGAATACGAGGAGCATGAAGGTTAGAGTTACGACGAATGTAACGGCCTTGGTCCACTCTAAGACAATCTTTGTAGCCGACATAGCAAGATGTTTGATTTGTGATCTTTCCGTTAAAGTAACGTAGGGTGTCCAGTCTTCTTTTTCTATCAGTTCCTTTATATAGCTCACGCAATACGCGATAACATTATAAAACATAAGCGTATAAAGACACGTCATTCTTTCCTTAGGTACCAATACTTTATCCGCTAGCATTAAAAATACTATTTGATTAGCCATCACTGAGATATTTTTCATCCTTAGAAAAAGATTTTCTGCACGATCTACTGGTCCATATAAACGTTTTAAGAAACGATAAAGTGGTTTCCATGCTTTCGATAATGCACCTATAAAATTTATAATATTTTTATTGATTCGTTTAATAAATATTTATAAATATATGGTATATATGTGCTGATAATTATGACAGTGGAATAAATAAATAAAAAATGTGTATTTTACAATTTATTTATTTATTTTTAATGTATAAGTCATTTTATATTTAAAATAAATTTAATCAAAATTTTTCTTTCGTTTAATCCATTATAATTATCGACACATATAAACGTAGAATATAAATATAGCAAAATAGTAACACATAATCGTATCTTATTAGCATGACGAATCGTAAATTGTAAAAAAAAAATGATTAAACTTAAATGAGAACAGGATTACGTTGGAACTAGCGAAAAAAGTATGGCGGCAGTATGTTTCAAGAAATAGTTTAAAAAAGAAAAAAGAAAAAAGAAAAATCTATAACATATATATATAACAATAAATTAAAATTATATATAATAAGATCCTATGATAAAATCGAAATGGAAAATGTTGAGTGGAGTTAATTTTTCATCGAATAAAAAAAAAAATGGGATCAAACCTATTGAACCATCATCATTATTATATTTTTCTCTCTCTTTATTTTTCTCTATCTTTCATGCTTTAAGAATTTACGATGAAAAGGGGATGGAAGGAAAGATAGAAAGAAAGAAAGAAAAAAGGGTAAAGAAAAACCGATGAGATGAAAAGATAGGTGATTCTCGTAAGAAGTATCTATTTTATACGTTTTGCTAATAATAATTATAATTAGGTGAGGAGGGGGTAAACCATTAAAGAAGATAAGTAACATCTATAAGTGTTAGATAATTTTTCGAGATTTGCAATGATTCATTTTCTCTTTGATGACTAGGCGTCAACTAGGGGTCCAATCATATATCCGTTAATTGAGGATAACGTAATCGATGTGTTGCTGTCGATCATTTTAATTTTTTTTTTTTTCGCAATAGCCGGTAATACAAATTTGCATATTAATGGATGTCAGTCAGGAGAGATAGAAAGAATGAGAGAGAAAAAGAGAGAAAAAGAGAGAAAGATAGAGAAAAAGAGAGAGAGAGAGAGGACTCATCATCAACGAAAAAGACGAGACAGGAAGACACTGAGGACTGGCAGGTGTGGATAAAGAGGTCGGAGGGGGATGATGTCGCCTTGGCGTCCGAACGTTTCACATGGCAACCAAGATTATCCTTCGGGATTCGTGCGTTAAACCAGGCGGACGAATCTCTACCTATAAAATAACCCGTCCTGGTCGACACTGGACACATTACGTTCTTCCGACTCATAGTGGTGCGACTTACCTTCTAGAATCAGGAAAAGGACCTAAAGAGACGACGACTTCCTCATCGTGTGTGTCTTCTTAGAAGAATCAATCGTTAAATATAATAATATACGGTATTTATATATATATATACATATAATATTATTATATTTTTAATATAATAATTAATTATATTAAATTAACCCTTTTGAATGGTGAATATTTTTAATAATTTAAAAAGTGGGGGATACTTTTAATACCGCCAAGTTTCAAAGAGTTAATAAAGAAGAGAGAAAGAGAGAGGAGAGAGAAAGAAAAATAAGATTACTGTCATGTTCATTAATTTCTATCCATTTCGATTAGATTATAATGGGATCGTATCTATTTATTAATAGAAATATTGTTGATATATTTCTTTTCTTTTTTTTTTTTTACTCTTTCAATATGGAAAATTTTTTTTATGATATAGTATATTTTTATTAATCGGTTATCTTTTCGTTCAATTTTTATAAAAATGTATACTATTACAAATATCAGTGGATCATTATGTCGATAATATGGTACGATTGCACATAGTACAAAATATATGTATATATATATATATATATTCAAATGATTAATCGTAAATCTATAACTTTAATCTTTCATTGAATGTTTTGATATTGACACGAGTTAACGGATATTATTAGCCTTGATATATACTACAAGTAGTATATTATATTTTACAAAACAGAATTGAATTACACACTGTTTGTAAGACCGATTAATAAAAATGATACGTAATCTGTTCTCTTTTTTCGTCGCGATTTGAATTTTTGTTTCGTTTCGTTTAATATTCAACAAATAATAAAATAATATTTAATAGAATAATATTTAAAAAAATTGAATATACAGAATAATAATCATCCATAAAAAGAGAAATATTTGGATTCGGAATAGTTATAGGAGGGTTATTTCAAAAGAGAAAAAATACAAAAAGGAAAAAAAAGGAAATAGTCATAAATAAAGAATTTCTTTTGATACTTTTTTTTACATTTCTATTCTTTTTTTTTCCTTTCAATTTTATTTTTACTTTTTACCTGTTGTTGCTTCTACGAGTGCTTTTAAGGTGTAAACGGGGTATCTGTAATTGGCGCTGAATACGACAGGTAAAACCAAAGCAGAATACAATGCTGGTGCTGGTGAGGGTAGAAGTGGTAACGGACCACGAGGACAATATGGTAGCAATAAGACTGCACTTAAAAGACAAACGCTTTGTGCCGTTTTTTCTTTGTCCACGGTTAAAGAATTTGCTCTAACCCGACCCCTGACCCGTGTTATCATACCCATATTGTCTTCCTAAAAAATACACAAAAAATACTAAAATACAAAAAGGAAATAAATCAAACGAAACTCCATTTATCAAACCTTTTTTATTGTGTGATTCGATATGGTTAAAAATGTCGTATATTATTATGTACCGTTAGGACATGTAGCAAGGAACAAAATTCTTAACAAATATTTCGAATATTTATTCAAAAAGGAAATGAGAAAGAGGAAAAAAAGAAATAGAAATAGAAAAAGAAATTGACAAAAGAAATAAAAACATTCTTGAATGTTGAAAAATGATCTTCAGTTGAATTTTATTTAATCGAATATTTTTGAATGAAACAGATTTTTTTTCTTTTTTTTTTTGTAAAATAAATCGATACGTTAAATCGAATTCACTTTATAATAACGTTAACGTTTTTGAACGCAATGAAAGTATTTGGCAAGATCACATTTTAGATACGTCTATCTCTCTTTCACTTCTATATTCAGCCTCGCATACTATTTTCAACCGAGAACCCTAAAGTTCCTCTCACCGATTCGTTTAACGTATATTTTCCTACAGAAGCTAACTAAAAAACATATATATCTATATATGTATCGAAGAAAAATATAAAACTTTCTACCAATTTTTATCGATCCAATCAAATCGGGTTTTTTTTCGTTTCGTTTCGTTTCGTTTCGTTTCGTTTCGTTTCGTTTCGTTTCGTTTCGTTTCGTAGGAACAAACAAATTATTTCTTATATCTCTTTTATTTATTTATTTTTCTGTCTTCGAGCTTATGTATTTAGGCATTTATTTATGTGTTCTTTTTTTCTGTATCTTTTAACGCAAAATTCTTTACCGGAGGAAAAAAGAAAGTAAACAAGAAAAAAAAATGTATACACTCTGGTTGTGTTGATACTTTACTGTCGTAAAACGCGTGAATCTGTTACTAATATTTAAAACAACACTCGTAGTGGGATATATAGTTAAACGTTTTAAAAATAAACACATTGCAAGAGAAAAAGAAATCGCGTTCTGGGAGGATTATAAATGTTTTTTTTTTTTTTTTTTAAGGAGAAATTTCTTTTTCTTGTTGTATCTTTCTCGAAGATAAATGTAAAGCTAAAGATGAAGATAGAAAGAGAGATGTTATTATTAATATAATTGATCAATATATGCAAAAAAAATATTTATAATTTGTTTTGATTCGCGTTAGATAAATGTGGCGGATGAAATTAGAAATAAAGAAGAATTTGCGTCATCGTTTGAAAATCCTACTTCACGTGTTCGTGAATAATATTATTATTGATTATTTTGGTATATTTTTCATCGAGTAAACAATAAACATATCAAAGATATATTACAGATAGTTATATAGAATCATCTATCTTGGATTAAATGAATTTTGTACATATCCAGTGTGTTAAGATGCAAACGAAAGAATAAGAAAAAAAAAAAAAAGAGAAATTTGTTGGCATTTAAATAGTTTTGTGAATTGTTGGCAAATGGTTTAAATGCGCGGTTAATGTATTATTACGATGATGTTTACGATTTTGACACTATGCAACTGTTCTATTAAATTATTTCCGAAATCAACCAGATACAGAATGAGATGATGATTCGAGTAAAATGATATCTTTTTAGGCGTATGACCCGGAAATATGACGCGAATAGAATTCAAACAGATATTTAATTGTCTGTAATAAAATAGAAAAAGGTTGCCAAACGTTTAAATGTCCACATGACGATGAAGAAGAAGAAGATGATGATGATGCATCGTCGAATTTTAGAAAGAAATGAAATAAATTTATTAAAGAAAGTCATAGAGGAATCTTTGAAAAAGATGAGTCAAGTTACTACGATTTAATTTTGTTTAGTCACGTATTTTTTTTTGGGGGGGGGGAGGTTTCTTCCCTTTTTTTTCTTCTTCTTCTTTTTATTTTTTTTTTTTAATTAATTGTTCGAATTAAATTATTATTTCTTTTGATTTTTTTTTCTGTAAGTACATTAATCAAAGCAAATTATAATTTTGATTTTTGTTTCTTTGAAAAATATATATTAAAATCATTTTGCCATATAAATATAAATTGAATAAAAGTAAAACTCACCTAATAAACCCAAGAACGTTTTATCGTTGAGACAGTAATCGTTAAATTATGGTGTATATTATACTTATACACCTAACTGGCCACCCCCCCTTTTAAATAAAAAAATATTCAACTATGATAATTATATTTGTACTTATCAAAAATCAATATAATATAGAAAAGAATTCGTGTTCGTATTTGAAAAGAAAAAATAATAGAAAAATCGAACGATTATCTATTAATTATTTAAAGTAAAAAGAAAAATATTTGAATTGTTTAACAATAAGTGAAGCGAGAATCGCGTGTTAAAAGACGGAGGTACGATTTGTTACTGACAATGAGATTCTTCTTTCGATGTTAGGTAGTGAGACTGCTACGAAATAAAGAAATATATATATGTATACACATATATGTGTACATATATATATACATATATACAAACATGTGAGATCTCATCACGGTCGTTGTGGCGGTGTAAGAAGAGAAAATTATTCTCGTTCAAGGGTGGGGGGTTTAAACGTTACTCGGAAACGGGGGTCTGATGTTGGATGGTAGGGGGATGGATCGGGAATAGGAGTAGGGGGTAAGTTTAAAGAAAATCTGGCATAGTCAGAAGAGAAACGCAAATTTTCATAGCTATTATTAGAAATACGCGAGAGATATGCTGTTAACCTAACCTGACGATTGGTGGTGGTGGTGGTGGTGGTATGCACCTTATGTTTGTTCGTACACGTCTCGTCCTATCCTCACCCCCCCCCTACCTACCTTCCCACCTTCCCACCCTTTCATTCCTCGTGATTTCTCTCATCGGGGATTCGTTTAAAAATTTGTTTACGTCTGAACGAATCAGCCGAATCTGTGGTAGCAACACCTACGCACTCATGTTAGTTGATCTTTTCTGAACCGAAAAGAGAAAGGGGAAAAGTCCTTTCCATTCATCCCATCGGGGTGGGGTGGGCTGGAGGGGGTGTCTCTTCTTCTTATTGTTAGTTTATTTTACGAATCTCTCGTGAATATTATTTCAATGATGGCGAATAGCCATCAAACGTATATGACTCCAATGATGATCTTCGAATTGTGATCATTCAGAATAACACACGCAATGTTAGTTCGTCGTTCTTTCTTTAGGTTTTAACTATATTGTTAACGTAATTTATTCTACTTTTCTAATGGTTAAATGCAATTCTACAATTATTATTATTATTATTGTAACAAATATCTTGTCTATCTTAATCGATTTTGTGTGTCTTCTTTTTTATTTGTTTACTTTCAAATCATATATACCTACGTGTCTTTATTATTTTTTGTTGTTGTTGTTTTTTTTTATAAGAGTATTATAAAATAACTCTCACTCTCTCTCTCTCTCTCTCACTCTCTCTCTCTCTCTCTCTCTCTCTCTCTCTCTCTAATTCTTGCTCATTCACTATCATTGAGGTCGAGAAAAGAGTTAAAATTAAGTCAAAAGAGAAGAAGAAGAAGATGTTCGTGTCTACTGGTTAGATTATTCTCGTATTCCTGAACAACTCCCGGAATTGCGATTAACATGATCGCGAAAAAAAGAAGAGTAGGAAAGGGAGAGGGAAGGGGGAAGGGGGAAGGAGTTTAATAATGATTACTAGGGATAGGGGTATGAGGAGGGTTGGGGGAATGCAAGACGCGTGTGATAACCGAGAATAGGAAGAATTTTTAAAAGTTTCTTGTGACAATCAAACAAGAAGGAGACGAAACAGTCAGACAGTATGATAAACAAAGAAATAAACCAAAAAAAGGTTGAAGAGGGGGTAGAGGGAGAAAGAGAGAGACAAAGAGAGTGGGTGGGTGGAAGAAGAGAGTCCAGTGGCTTTTCTTTCTGTTTCTGGATATCGATAAATCTCATTCTCGCGAACTAGTCTTTGCCCTCAACATGAAGAGGAACAAGATGATGGTGAAGAGAAGAGTGGTGGAGGAGGGGGTGCAGCGTGGGAGGATAAAAAGGGGAATATAAACAAGAGAAAAAGAAAATAAGAAAAAGAAATAAGAATTTCTTTACTGGCGTCTCTGATCGAATGCCCGACGAATGATCGAAAAGTAGGGAAAGGGGAGGGGGAGGATTAACATGACTGCATTTATGTCTTGTTTCCCTATGTGGGACAACTGTTTTGCCTATCGCACGGCAAATTCGCGAGACGAGTGATTGAAACGATTCTAATTTATTATACTATTTCTATTCGTATTATTATTATTATTATTATTATTATTATTATTGTTATTATTTATTATTATTTTTTTATTTATCATACTAGTAACGTTCGATATTTATTCTTGTTTCTTTATTTTTGTCGTAGTGAAAAAGGGTGGAAATATAAAAAAAAGAAAGAAATAATCCTGACTCAGATTTTTGTTTTTATTTCTTGTTCTTGTTTTTGTTCTTGTTTTTATATTCTTGTTGTTTGTTTATTTTTTTTTTTTTTTTCGGATTAGAAGAAGAAATACGATTGATATTTAAAATACGCGAGACCAATAACGTACGCATACATGCGTCGAACGTTGCTCGTTGATACTTTGACGTTCATCTCGATGGAACGTTTCTCGAAAAAGTTTTTATTTGGATTATCTCCACCGAAATCAAGATTAACAACAAGAAGAAAGAAAGAACATTAGATCGAACATCGATTCTCGCTGTAACAGTGAGAGACAGTGTTTTTTAATAAGTGTGAAAATTTATAATCGAAATGATGAATTTGTTTGAAATGAAAATTATTTTTTGTTAAATCGTAAGTGAAGATGAAATATTATTTTGTTCATTTATCAAACATATTTTTGACTGTACTTTTACTTCGAATATTCACCTTGAGAAAAAAAGAAAAAAAGTAAGTAAATTAAAAAAAAAAAAAAAATAATAAAAAAAGAAAAAAATCTCGTAGAAAAAAAGCGGAGTTCAATGAATCGATATAGAGTCAGAGTATAATTATTTCTTTCTTCGATAATGGTATTTATAGTACGATAAAATTCAAAGAACACAAAGTTCGTACATAAGTTCTCTCTCACGTGCGTACGTTCATGAGTGTTCCGATTCACCCACACTAATGTAATAGATTTTCTCGTGACCAATGTTGGAATGCTATTAGTAAAATCAACACATCGTATCATCATTTATTTTAACATTAGACAATTTTCTACAAAAATTACGTATTTTCGTTTTAATACGAAAAACCGAATTATTCATCATCATCATCATCATCATCATCATCTTCATCGTGTTTTTGCAATTACGTGTTATTTTTAAATTTACAAATTTATAAATCGTATATTTAGACGAAAATAAGAAATATAGTAAAGTTATTCATAGATAATAATATAAAAAATATAAAATGAATAATTAATTTAAATAATACGAAGTTATGATTATTTTTTCTTTTTCTTTTATTTATAATAATATTTATTTAACATATTCGTGGCTAACACGTGTTGCGAACATTAAACGAACACATGTTCTTATCGTTTAAGTTGCATTTTATTAAGCAATACTTCAGACTGTGTCTGTACCACAAGTATAACATTTTAATTAGTTAAGATAACGTTTAAATATTTTCTTTTTTCTTTGTTTTTTGCTTTTCTAATTAATAATTAATAATAATCGTTATCTTATCGTTTTTTTCTTCTTGTTTCTTTTTTCCTCGTTGTTGAGAAGAAAAGATACTAACCGTTTCTGATTCCGGGTGGCCGCCGGTGTATTAAAACAAAAAGTATCATTCTTGATCGTAACCTTTCAGATAAACTTTTATATATATATATATATATATGTTAATAAAATATATAAAAATATTCTTTCTCGTCGATTATGTTAAGGCCGGCGATACAAGTAAAATAAAAAAAAAACGAATTTTTTTTTTTTTTCATAAATAGTTAGTTTAACATCTCAAAAATATGCCTGTAAGTTTTTAAAATGAAATTCGCATTATTTATCGATTAAAAATTCATTTAAGTGCTCCGCCTCAACTCGGTGCTAGACGCGAACGCTAAACTTTGAACGCGTTTTTCTCAAAACGACTTTTTTCAAACTGGCGTGCAAGATAACTCAAAAAGTTCTTAACCGATTCTTATGAAATTTAGCACACATTTTTATTATAGTATTAGATTCTAGTTGAACTTTAAAAATGCCACAAAAATTTGCAGAAAATTGCCATTTTTGGCCCAAAAACCGTTAAAAAAAAGGGTCAAGAATCAGACTTTGTTGTCTGAGTCGTGCCAATTTACGATTTTTTGATTTTTTTATTTTTTTCTTGATTCAACTAGAAGATACATGTTTTATGAAAACGCTCCGACCATTTTTTTTTATTTCAAATTGCTGTAACTGCAGCTAAAAATCACGCCGATTGATGCGTTTCGTCGCGAGGGCCTCAGGAGATTGATTACTATGGCTGCCATTTTGAAAAAAAAAAATTAAAAAAAAATCGGATCCTTATATTTCAAAACGATTCATTTATTCCTTCCATTTTAAATAAGCCTCTGAAAAACGGTCAACATTTAGGCGTTTACATGTATCGCCGGCCTTAATATATATATATATATGTATATATATATTTTTTTTTTTCTTTTTTTGCACGAGGAAAAATGTCTACAATTATTATTAATTCAATGATTTCAATTATATTTTCCAGATTAATTATATTACATCATTAAATCAATGATAATATACGAGAGAACAAAAAAAAAAAAAAGTCGTTGTTTAATTAAAAAGAATAATAATAATGCTGCATTGATTGTAATATAAAAAAAAAGAAAAAGTTTTGATTATTATTCACATACTCGATCTATTTTTAATTCGTTACAAATGATGGAATATAAATAAATTTCATATCTTATATGGAATTGTTCTTTTTTTCTTTTTATTTTTAATTTAAGTTTATTGAAAATTAACGTTTAGACAAACACAAAAATAATACACATATAATCGTTTTGTTATTCGGTAAATAATAATCATTTTTTTCTTTGTTTTTTTTTTCTTTCAGACACTAGAAACGACATGTCGATCCAATCATCAATTTACATACTTGTACTATTGTCTGTCGTATTTTTGTAAGTATACGAATATAATTTGTACTTGTCCTTTTTTTTGTTGCTTCTTTAGAAAAATCTAATAACGAAAGTATATAAAAAAAAAATAATAATAAATAAATGATATTATATCATCGTTATATAGATCGTGCAGCTTTGGTCATCCCTTTATCAGACAACGCGAGGACGGTAGACAAATTTGCGATGGTTGTGGATATGAATGCGATAAGTGTAAATATGGTTTTACGATATCGACTCTTTGCGGTATTCCTGTATGCAAAAGGGTTAGTATATAAATAAATAAATAAATTGTATACATAGGAAATAGATAAAAGAAAGAATATTAAATAAATTGTTTTTAAAGGGTCCTGGCGAGGTTTGCGGAGGACCAAGCGAATCATGGGGAATATGCGGCGATGGTTTGATATGCAGTTGCAATAAATGCAGCGGTTGCAGCGTAGAAGAACTCGATTGTTATTCGCATACTTGCCCACCTCATCTCAGTTTGGAATCACGTCATTCCGATGCATATTTTCGCTTTCCACCTGCGGCCAAATAAATAAATAATAGGGAACAACAAATCATCGATTTGGATATTTTGAAGAACGTGAGAAAGTGCGTAGGGTTAATTAATGAAAAAGCTTCTAATTAGAAAACAAAAATAGTCAAAAAAACAAATATTCATATTATATAATACATTCCAACAATTGATCTCATCATAGTTTAGAATTAGATAGATATATATATATATAGAGTTTTGATTAATTTTTTAATCGTCTATCTCAGAAAATTAATCTGTGCGTCTCTGTGTGTAATGTGAGTGTATGTCTATTCGTTATTTAATTATTTCTTTGACAAGCATTCCGAAATAGAAGATAACAAAAAAATAGCAAGCAAGTAACAAACAAACAAACAAACAAACAAACAAATAAACCATCGAATTAAAGACAGAAGAGAGAATATTTATAGGAAAAAAAAAGGAAAGAAAAGTAACTATGATCTCGTTAGAAAAAAAATTGAAATCTGTTTTAATCATGATTTTTTAAATGATTAACAGAATTATACAAGACTCGAATAGTTTTTAAGAATTAATTTAATTATTATTATTATTATTATTATTTCGTAGCACGACGGATATATACGACACTCCATACGTCTCTCCCGTTCTATCGAGACGAATTAAGAACTATGATATATATATATATATATATCTAGTTATTAAAAAGAAAAGAAACGAAAAAAAAAAAAAAGTATTATAAATCAATCGTTATACTGGCTGTGAGTTGAATTTCTTATCGTAAATAGACACCGAGTCTCATATGCCTTGACCTAATTTTCTTTTTTTTTTTTTTTGCAATGTTTCAAACATTTCCGTAGCTATTTAGCGAAATGTTCGAAAAAAAAGGATGAGGGAGGTTTTTTATTTCTTCTTTTTTATTCGTAGCTTTCTTTGACTCGAGTCGAACGATGAGAAATCGCGTTCTTATTCTTTTCACGAAACGTATCAAATATTATGGTGCGTTAAATTGTAACATTTTTTCATATATATATATATACATTTTATATTAAGTACACACAATTTATAATAGTTAGTTAGGCAAATTAAAAAAATATATATATATTTTACGTCTTCTTCTTTTGGCTAAATAAAACTATTTATTTACTCGAAATAACAGTGATTATTTATAATAATATGTGAATTCAATATTATATATTGTAAGAATGAATAATCGTGAAATAAAAAAATTATCTCGCTTTCTTATTTTGTCTTTCTTGTTTTTTTGAAATTGTAGTTTATATTACCGACTTTAAAATATGTGCCACACCGGTAATAATTATTACTTCATCTTAGGGACTGGTAAGATATGTGTCGCCATCCAGCGGTACTAACTATTACTTCATCTCACTGACTAGTAAAACATTTGTTACCATCTAGCGGTAGTAACTATTACTTTAGTTTACTGACAAGTAAAATATGTTTTTCTATTTAATCGAAATAGCACAATATATATATATAAAAGTATACATTCAAAATTTAGTCATATTGTTCAGTTTTATTTCAAAATTACAATAGTTATTTTTTTTTTAATTTTTACAAAGTTATGTTTTTTGATTATTCTGCTTGACAGCCTTCAAGATTTAATGCTCTAGCTAAATTTCGAGCAACTGCTAAGCGAAATATATCAACTTTATCTGAAAATTTAGGATCATCGCCATGAGCTTCGACACAGCGTAATAATTCAAGGGAATCGATGGAAGATAAAATGACATCCTCACTTTCCAAAAGTGGAATAACATCCGTTAACAGGATTGACCAAAAACTGAAATATAAATAATTGTTATTTTATAAGATATTATTTATCGGAATGTTGATCATTAATATTATATTTTGTACTTACTATTTTGGTGTAAGATTAGAAACTATCAGTGAGACTAATAAGCTAGCTGCTTCCTTGAATTCACCAATACTATACATTTGATGAAATTCACAATATTTACCTAATATTAGACATTAAACTTATTAATTAATGATTCCATAACATTAAATAAAACAATGATATATGAAATTAAATAATTATGTATTTACCTAAAAATGTAAGCCTATCACTAGCTAACATACAGGGTCCCAAGTTTTCAAGTAAATCACGACATTCTAATTCCCCATTTTCTGCATAATATTTTAAAAATTGATTAGCAATATATGTTATGAAACCACTATCTTGGGCTTTTAATGCCCATGACAATGCATTCCCAAGTCGTCTTTGTTTAATGCATTTCATACCTTGGATTTTGCATATGCTAGTAACTGAAACAAATAACAAGTATGTTTCAAATATACACATATTTTAAAATAAATACAAAAGTAAATGTTCACTTACCGATGTGATTCAAATTACTACCACGTGCAATATCAATAATTTTATTTACCCTTGCTTCTGATCCCATAGGTAATGATTCTAATAATAGTTCTAATCTAGCTAAACCCTGAATAGGGCAATGCATTAAATAGCTTGCACCACATTGCCATAAGGAATGATGGCCCATTAAAGTGGTAGCATACTCTAAAATGAGGGATTCATGTAACTGTGCGGTAATACTAAAAAAAAAAAAAATAAGATAGATTGAATATAAAATCAGATGACATTTGAAGTATCAAAATTATAAGTACTTACTCCTTTTGATGTTTATCCATAACATTTAATTTTCCACAATTATAAAGTAAATCTATCAAATGAGCTGCAAACCATCCATTATCATTCATAAATTGAATTTCTTTAATTACTTGATGAAGATCGTTTTCTATTAAAGCCAAAATAATACGATCCAAAGGTTTATTTGCTTTCCATCTTTCTGCCATGTTATATGCATGTCGTGAAAATTCAACTTGTTTACAACATGGTACAGAGTAAAATAATTTTGCAGCCAATAATTCATACCAGGCCTCTGTATATTTTGAAAATTCACATAGTGTAGATTCATCCCCAGCTATTAACTAGGTATAATAAAAAAGAGATGGATTTTTAATAAATAAGAAGAATAGTTTTCTTTTTTTTTAATTTAAAATAATTACCTTCATAAGCATTTCTAAGTTGATATCAATAGCGAAAGTTTTGCTATCGATATTTGAAGATAAATCTAATTGCCAATGTTTCCAACGTACTGTAAATTCACTCACTGAATAACCACCATAAACATTATATATAGGCATGGATTTAATTAAATTTTCTGCTATTACAAAAGATGGGTGATCTGCTTTGCTATGCACTGACAAAAGTGCACATACTAAATCTATTTTTCCATGCAATGCACAACCTATTATTACTTCCCAGTAGTATATATATTCGAGATCAGCTGCAATGCACTTTTGCGACAATATTTTAATCGCTTTAAGTTCTTTTGATGGAAAATGAAATTGAATCCATTCTAACAAACGTGGTAATATCACATTACCTAACAACAAACAAATTACAAGAAAAAGTGAAATTATTTGACATTAGTATGTAAACATTAAATAAATAATATGAATTAATAACAATTTACCTGGAATATTATCAAGATATAAAATTTCTGTTAAGTGCCATACACATTCTACGTTATAAAAGATAGTTAGAAAATTTTCTACGGTTATTTTGTTATCAGGTAAAGATTTTTCAGCAATATCTTGTAGACCTTCAACACACGCTCTTATAATAGAACGATATTGCTTGCTGTGTTTCAATAATTCTGGACAAATATCTCCAGAAGAAGATGATTTAATTTTATAAATTGATAAGAAGACTCCGTTACTTTCATTAACAAGTTTACGCAATGGAGGAGAAAATAATATTACTTCAGGTCTTAGGATATGTACTTTAATATCAGATGTAGTAAATGTACTTTTTGTATCTAAAAAAAAAAAAAGAAAAACAAACATTAAGTTACACTTTAGTTTAAATAGTATATTACATTGAAAATTATATTTAAATATTATTTTATGTACCTTGTGTATGTTTATTTATGGATTTATGAGCACATAATCCAATCTTATTTGAATTAATCCAGCTTGCTAGGATACCTACTTGTTCACAAACTTTATCTGGAATTTCCTTTAAATATCAAATTTTATTATTATTATTATTAATTACAAATTATTATTATAATAGCAATAATGACATTATTTTATAGTAAGAAAATTAATTGTAAATTGTGGTTATGAAGTTTTATAAATGCTACAAAAGATTAACTTACTATTTCGACAATATCATTGTTAGCCATAATTTATAAATGTATTCCTTATCAATTGACACTATTTATTTGAATTAATGATTTAATTTATTTATAAATTATCTGATGGCGCCAATTCTTAAGTCACAATCATATAAACAAAAATGACTTGATAAGAGTATGAGTGTTTGCAACTAGTTATCTGTTAAACCATCAGATGTCGCACAGATCCCTAGTCTTTCTCGCAAGTGTTTATATCCAATATTGCTCGATGCATGTATGTAATTTTAAACAAAATTAATATTTTTATTATGTTATACTTTTTATATATCTATTAAAATTAATAAAATAGATAAAAAAAAAAAAAGAAAAAGTAATCTTGAAACTACGGAAATCTGTTTAGAGTAATCAAGAACCATTTATACGATGTTGTTTATTCAATACTGTAATAGTTTTTTTTGTCGTCAATTACTAAACCACTAGGTTTACATGAGGAAATAACAACAACAACAACAGGCAGGTTTTTGGATACGAAAACAGTTGCGATGTAGTAGTATTTAAATCATACACTAATGTGTCAATGCGTATATGTGTGTCTAGGTAATGTAATTTCAATAAATCTTCAATATCTTGTTTCATTACATTGAAATTCATTATTTTATAACAATGTCAGTTACGCTACATGAAACAGTAAGCCATGAAATAATTACAAATATGCTAATAATTAGAAAGAATTCAATATTTTAAAGATGATCCGTTCCACTTGATTGATAGATGCACCGCTGTTTCCCATTGAATGAAAATATGGGCACGCTTAATGATTTCATGGCATTCTGTGTACCAAAGATAGTCATTGCTTTTATTTTCTTATGCAAAGACATATTGTTTGACAGTGACGCACTAAACTATCAGCAATTTCTTATGATGATATTGTTGGCTTAGAAGGCGAACAGAAGTAAGAAAGCCATCATGAGACAGAATAGTCCCATAGCCTCAGATAAGGCAAAACCTAAAATGGCATATGAAAATAATTGCTGTTTTAAAGATGGATTCCTAGCATAACCAATGATGAGAGAACCAAATACAGATCCAATTCCAGCACCTAAAAATAATATATTTAGTTAATAATAGTTGAATTTTATTTCAAGATATAGATGTGTATATATTTTATTTTGTTAATGTAATTGATGTTAATAATATTATGACCTCTACAAAATTACATACATTTAATTACATATAATGAAAAAACTGAATTAGATTATGTATATTAAACAATAATATGATACAGATGTATTCCATTCTTGAGGGAAGCATATTGTCAGAAAGTTTAAAAGGCAAAAAGGATAAGGAATGCTATCATTAGGCAAAAAAGCCCCATAGCTTCAGCTAAGGCAAATCCCAGGATAGCATAAGTAAAACATTGCTGTTTTAAGGAAGGGTTTCGGGTATAACCAATTATCAAGGATCCAAAAACTAAGCCAATACCAACTGCTGTAATTGAAATATCTGTTAGAAATATTACTATTTTGTAAATAAGAAATTAATCAATTTTGTAAATTAAAAATGAAGTTATGCCTATAAGTTAGTAAGAATATGAAATGTTTAATACTTATGTCAGGATTGTGATAATTTAGGATTCTTTTATTATCGAGCAATTACACACCAGATCCTGCAACACCAACGGTTGCGGCACCAGCACCGATAAATTTGGCAGCAGAATCAATATCACGTCTGATCAGTGAAGTTTGGAAGCTACGTACTTGTTGTGTCTAAATAAACAAATTTTTAATCATTATAAACAATTATATGCAATTATGAAATGATTTTAAAGCTACTATATAAGTAATCAGTCTATTTGTATCTTATAAGTATAGATTACCCTTCGATTTTGTTTTTCAATCGTTATATAACTTTCTAAAAACTATCTTCTTCATTAATATTTTATTTTACCATACTACAATCTACTTAAAATTAATCTATTATTTCAATAACACTAATTGCATCGAGTTTTATGTATACTTATTTCTATTATGTCAGATCGAATGACTTGTCCTCAAAATGTCATATACATTTTACAATGTATGTATAATAAAAAATATATCATTTATGCAATAAAAATTATTGATATATTAAACAGCAATATTACTTATAAGAAATTCTGTCAAAAATGTTTACAATTGATCATTTGATAACAGTCATGGTATATTTCAGTGTACAAATTTATTGCATAATATGTAATAAATATATATATTAATAGGTATAGATATTATTATTAAATATAAAATACTTATTTTCTAAAGATATAATGTGACTTATGTAACTTATAAATGAAGAAGTTATGCAATATATAAAACATAAATTACTTACTAAACTCACTGATGGCTGAAATTGTTTCTGCTGTTGTAAAGATTGGCTTTGACTGACCATGCTGCTCAATGGTCGAATATAGGTCTTGGTTCCAGAAACCAACTAAAAAAACATCAAGTTTAAAAAAGATTATATAATATGAAATTGTGAATTTGAAAGATGAAATGCCAAAGATCCTATACTCACGGTAGACCTGGCAATGGGGGCGATGAGTCGAGAACAGGCATACATGGTGACGTTTTATGTTTCGCGCAACTTTACAAGTGTCTGAAATGAGAAGATACAAACGATCGATTTTGACAATTTTTTTATATCGATTCTATAACTCAAACGATGTTCAAATCATCTAGACCAATGTGGCTCCTCCGTTAGTAACGAATTATATTAGAAAAAAAAAAAGAAAGAGAAGAGGAAAGAGGAGAGAGAGAGGGAGGAAGAAATTGTTACATAACGTCGAAATCGTTACACGAGGATATAGAACAAGAAAATGGGTCGAGATTAACTTTATTCGAATATTTAAAGGTATTTATCAAAGATTAGCGAAAACACAAGAATACTGTTCATCAAATGTGGCAGACAATAATGGAGGATCTATTTAAAAAAAAATGGCTGTTCTCTACGACTCCTTCCTTTGACTTTTTAATTCAATTTTTCAGATTATTAAATGGAAGTCACACTGTTCTTTAGATTTTTTTTTAATTAATGCATTGATGTAATAATTGAATGTTTAAATTTGTATCATAATAGTAAATTTCACTTTCTTTTACTCACTATCCAACGAGCAAGCAGTCAGACTTACCAAAGAAGAGTGCTGAAGAAGCGGTAAGAAGACCCAGCCTTTGGAATGTTGAATCGGTGAGTGACCCGTGAACAGAACACCCTGCTGAGTCTTAATCTATCTGAACTGAAACTAGCGACAAATGCAGTAACTTCCGTATAACGACCCACTCACTATTCCCGATCACCCGACCAGCGTTATCGACCAACCGAATTTAGCCGAACAAGTTTTACGTCTGCAATAATTAATCAATACAACAGTTAAGAATCATTTTCTTGCTTATTAATAAACATTGACAATATGCTACGTTATATTAAAATAACATTTATGTTATTACTTAATAATTGTTCATGCAATTTCATTCATTAGTAAAAAAGGAAAAACATTTTTAATATTTAATTTGACTAGCTTATTCTTAAGGCATTTTCCATGAACATTAAGCTTAGTTTAGATTTTTTTAAAATTATTTTGATTGGTTGTATTAGATTTGTATACAGCTGATAAGTGCATCCTGAGATTTAAATGTAATGCATAAAAGTCAAAACGATGACAAATAGAAAAGTGATTATGGTGGTAGAAATGACTACTGCTAATAATTTGGCCAAGGAAAGGAATTAAGATTAACATCTAAACGATTTAAATCACTAGTTCTACTTTTTGCCTGTATTAGCGTTACTGTTCGCTTTCAATTCGTAGTCGGTAATACAAAAAATGATAAAAACTTTATATTCTTTACTGAATTGTGGACAAATTCATATTTCTTCCTAAGTTTACTCTAAATCATCTCTATAAACTTATATCTGTCAAAAAGTTTTATAATATCAATATATTCCAGAATTGAGAAACTATTGATATTATCAACTAATATGTTTAGATGCTATGATCAATAGAATGACATTTCTTAATTAATCTTCCTATGAAAGTGAATACCTATTTGCAATATGTAAACTTCAACAATAACAGAAATATTAAATACACAGGTAGGCTATTTTATTTAAAAGGAACCTAACCTAACATGTATACCATAATGAAAACAGTAATAATTGACATTTCTTTAATCAATGAAATGACATTTTAATTTTAATGTGACATTTGTTTTCGTTGGATTAAAATTTTAACAAATTGGTTTATATTTACAAAGTATACATAAAATAAATTTTGTTATAAAATATATATATATATATATATATACATATATATGTATGATATGTATATATATATATATATATATATATATATATATATGATATGTGTATATATATATGTACTTATATGTTATTTTTTTAAAGATCAATAATGTGGAATTAATTTATCAGAGTTTAACTGCATAGAATAATAATAATATAATATTGAATGAATTTATTTGTAATGTTTTATAATAATAGAGTCATGGAACACAACAAAAACAAGGAATAATCAAGAGTAAAATGGATTCATCTGTCTCATTCTTTTTCAAGTATTAAATAAAAGTAGTTCTCCATTTCTTAACACAGACATTTAAAAAATATCTACAAAAATGAACAGTCAATTGAAATTTTCAATGGAAACAGAAGACCATTTGGATGCAAAGTGGTTAAAAATTGATTTACAACGGTTTCTTTTTCGTGATGGATTAGCTGATCTTTGGAATGAAATGATAAAAGATGGAGAAGTTGTAGGACATGATGATGCTGTACTTAATTCTGCAGGGGTTCTGGCTAAAAAAGGTAAGATATATTGAATAATTGATGTATTTAAGTTTACAAAGGATATATTAATTGACAAGATTTTGAATAAACTTAGGAGAAAGTGGACATTATTATTGTGGAATGAAAGTATTATCCTGTGTTTGCTGCGATGGTATTTGTGGTCCTCAACATGGATGCAATTGTGGTCCATGTCAAAAGGTTGATACTGAAGCCGCCAGAAAAAATAAATTACTTACGGAGAATGTAATGTCTGCCCCAAAACTAATAGATTCATGGGTATGGGGCCCGCAACCAGGTAAACAAATTTATATTATTATTTTCAAAATCATAATCAAAATGAAATAATAATTCTTTTACTTTATTATTTAAAGGCTAGTATATTTATGTTATATCTTTATTTTTAGCATTATCTGATTTAAATGATTGTATAGAATTATTAATTATGGAGCAAAGAAAGCTATGTTGTGAAGTTGCAAATAGTACTTTATCAGCAATAAGATTGAGACAACGATTAGTAGTAGCACGAAGATATTTTACTGCTTTATCTCGAGACAAACCACAAGGAACTAAAGAAGTTCTTACATCTGTAAAAATTACTACCAAGTCACAAAAAAAGTTGAGTATTGATTATTTCAGAAAATAGTAAATAATTGAAAACCGAATAAACAATAATATATATTTTTTAGTTTAAAACCCAATGAAAAAGCAACACTAGGTTTGGCAAGAGTTGGTACACGTGCAGCTCTCAATTTTTCTTTCGCATATCTAAGACGTGCTTGGAGATCTGGAGAAGATGAAGAATTTCGCAGTGAATTACTTTCTGAATCTCTTGAGGCTTTACAATGTTTGCCAGAAGCTACTCTTTTTGATGAAAGTAATGTTTCTCAAATTTGGTTGGAAGTTGTTGAGAGATCAACCAAATTTTTGAAACAAGTTGTTGTTGGGTATGTTTTAGAAATTATTTGTCTTTCTATTATTAATACTAATGCAATTATCATCATTTATCCAGAATTTCTTGTTTAGAAATGTAATTGGTGAAAGATCTTGGCATCCAATTCCAATCGCTGATCAACACACAGCTTTATGTTTGCTACTTGAATTAGTCATGCAAAGAGCTACACTTTCAAATTTGTTGGATGCAGTAGTTCTTTTATTACACCTAAGTGGAAAAAATAAAAATCAGGATAATCGAGTAATGCCACCAGGAAGTTCAGCTCCTCTTATTCCTATTTTACGCAGATTGAATATGATACCATCGTCATCAAAGTTTTGGGAATTTGATGAAAATCTTTCAAATAATCCCTGTGAAGTATTATTAAGATATTTAAGATTACCGGATGATGATTCAGTATTTGTGGATTTGAGGAAAGCTGCAGTAATTATAATGTGTAATTTAAGCAGATTAGCTGCTCCCCTTTTACCACACATTACTGACATATTTTCAAAAAATGATAGACAAATGTTTCAAGAAGCAATAGCTTGGGGAAGTACCACACTTGGTGGAAATTCTCCATTTTACTCTGATGCTGTAGCAGAACTAGGCATTAAACAACTTTGCTATACTGAAGAAGCATTATTAATATTATCATTGAGTGGTAATGTTTACAAGATGGATTGTAGAACAGAATCACAGTATCCAGAAAAAATATATGGTTTCTCTGATAAACAAATAATAATGATAGCTGCTCATTCTGATGGTAAGCATTATTTGGCCTTAGCACAAGACAACACAGTGTATTCCTGGGGAGATGGGAAAAATGGAAAACTAGGCCATGGTGATGAAATTACATATGATGAACCAAAAGTAATAGAAGAATTTTTGGAAAAAACAATAACATTTATTACATGTGGAAGTAACTATTCTGCAGCAATAAGTTCCAATGGTGAATTATATACGTGGGGTAGGGGATTGGCTGGAAATCTTGGCCATGGTACTACTGATAATGTTCTAGTACCTACTTTGGTAACTGCTTTAAATGGACATACTGTGGTACATGTAGCTTGTGGAAGTGGTGATTCTCAAACATTATGTGTTACTGCTTCTGGCATAGTATTTTCTTGGGGTGATAGAAGTTATGGAAAACTTGGTAGACGTAGTACAGATGGATACAAAATACCCAAAATTGTGGATAAACTGTTAGATATCAATGTTGTCAAAGTTTATTGCGCTAACCAGTTTTCTGCTGCTTTAACTAGTCAAGGAGAAGTATATACATGGGGAAGAGGTTACTTATATCTAACAACAGATCGGTTGGAACATGAAAATGTAGATCGTCTCAGTTGTCCAAAGCTTATTGAAGCATTAAAAAACAAAAAAGTTAAAGATTTAGCTATAGGAAGTTCTCATACACTGGCCTTAACAGAAGATCATATGATTTATGGTTGGGGTGAAAATGATTATGGTCAAATTGATAAATCACTTGGTAATGTTGTTACCGAACCTACACTCTGCCCATCATTATCTGGAAAAATCGTAGTTGGTATAGTTTGTGGATCTACGCAAAGTTTTGCTTGGTGTATATCAGCATTATCTGTTGCAAGTAGAGTAGCCTTTGTTGTAGAAGTTTGTGAAGAAACATTTAAATTATTGGATATACTTTTAGCTAAATCTTGCGAAGGATTACCAGGTACACGACCACCTACTCAAGATCGTGAATGTTTAGCTGTAGCTACATTGAATTTATTAAGATTGCAACTTTATGCAATGATAAAACATAAAATTGATAACAAATCTGTTGGTCTATCAGGATCCACTCTATTAAATTCTTTAAAACAACGATGTGTTAATCTTGCTAGTGCATCTGGAATTTTAGCTACTATACAAAAAGCAGCCCAAGCAGTACTTCAAACTGGATGGAGTATTCTCTTACCAACTGCTAATGAACGTGCAAAAACATTATCGAGTTTTCTTTCAAATTCAAGCACTTTAGAACAATCGCATACTAATGATGGTCAATTATTTATGGCTGATTTATTAATATCCAGTTTAATGGCAGATGGCGGACTAGAATTAGCATTAAAAGCTGCGATTAAAGCAGAGATCACTGATTTGTCGGATGGCCAAGAATGTTTGATGGGTTTAAAAATCATCAAAACCAGTGAATCAAAACAAACTAAAGAATTTGGTTCAGAGAAATACAATATGACAATTTCGTTATTCCAATTAATAAAACAACTGATCAGAAATAGTACTTTTGTTACACTATCTAAATTTCAAAGTTTACAACAAATGAGTGGTAATGAAGAGTTACGTATTTTAGATAGACCGCCCAGCTTAAATCTTCTTCTTAGATTTCAACGTTTACTAATAGCACAAGCATATGAATGTATTAATGAGTCATCCACAGAAGACATACAAGATCAAGAAATGCTTGGAGTGGAATCTCTTTTAAAAAAGTATATATCTCAAATTTGTGATCATGTCATTGAAGTATTACCAGTAGCAGCTGAAATAG